AGGAGACCCAGGTTCAAGTCTCATCCTGCTCCAGAGCTGTGTAACAACATTTCTGAACATATTGTTTCAAAAGTGTCTATAACAAAAGTCAGATCCCAATACCATTTCTGAAGAAGGGTCCAGACACAAAACGGCAGCTTCCCTGCTCCTCTGATGCTGCTTGGCCTGCTGTGTTCAGCCAGCTCTACACCTTGTTATCTGGAATCAGAATGTCTGTCTGGTCTGAGTTTGCATAACTAACAGGTGTTAGTGCTTTTGTCTTCAAAGCAAGTAATGTTAGTAAAAATACTAGACCTATATAATCTAAATAAGTGAGAAATTGTATGTGTACTAAATAAAAGTATAGAGGATGTTAAACTGATCTCCAGCAGCTGCGTCGTGAGATTTCATTTATTTCATTCATTTCGTATTGCCTGTTTTGACAGTTCTCACACATTCATCCATGCAGTTTCGTGGAAGTACTGTTTTGATAGTAAGTTTCTTAAAGGGGACAGCAGTCCTATTTAATGTGTATTTAAAGGGTATAAATCCATACATTAGTACAAGATGTTAGTCCTAAATAAAAGTTTGAAATAGGTAGTACAGTGTTATTGGAATCGGTACTGTATAAGGAAATTTCAAAGAGATAAAGAGCAACAGACTGTAGGGACATGCTAGAAACTGTTTGATGTCCTGCAACCTATTCCGGTCCCGAGAAACGGTTGCTAAGGGCTAATTAATATTATAATCTTTCTATAGTTTCGAGTGAGTTATGGAGACACGATGATGGGGATGGCATTGTTCTGAGTAGGTTACAGTATTAACACTTATTCAGGGGTAGCCTTTCATACAGAAATAGGTCTAAATGCTGCTTGCAGCATGGGGCCAATAAGAATTGAAAGGTATAAGGAAAGAATAACAGGTTGGGAGGGATGTTTAATTTAGTTTATCTTTTAAGAGTAAAATGTACTACAAAAACACAGTTTAATGAATGAGTGAACAGAAACGGATATAGTAAACGTAGAGCACTTGTGAGTGACTAAGTAAAGAGCATCATAATAAAATGTCTCGCACTACTGTGGGGAAAAGAGTGGAAGGAACCATGCAAGAGTTCATGTATTCAAGAGTTCAGAAGGTTCAGTTATAGGATTGAAGGAGTTTAAAGAAATGGGGGTGGGGTTGGGGTAAACCACAACAAGATTTAAAAATGAGGATGCAAATTTTAAAATTTGACTCCTATTTTGCAGGAGCATATTTATATGAAAATCAATTGAAATAACATGAGTATTTCTTAGTATGGTATAAAATATCAACAGTGGAGTTGATGTTCACAGAGTGTGCATTTGAATTGGGAGGTCACAAAAGAACAGATTAGAGTTTTCAATTGTAGATGAGCTGAGGTGGCTTTTGTGATGGAAATAGGCAGATTTTGTGATGGAGAGGATACAGGATTAGAAAGTCAGTAGAGCTCCAAGGCTATAAGTGGCCTGGTTCATTCTGAATGTGATTGAGGAACAAGATGGACTAAGTATGGCTAAGTCTGATCCAATTACAGATTCTCTCCCCAAAGCCCACTTCAGAGAGCATGTGTAGGTGTGCCTCAGCAGTCACCTGAACCATCTTCCATTTGTCTGGAGGTCAAAGATGGACCGTATCTGTAGGGATAACATGTACAAAGCTCTGAATAAGGTGGATGGAGGGGAAGGATGTACTCAATGCCATCCTTATCATGATTTATGTGTGGCTACAACAAGCGATGCGTAGGCCCTCTGTACACAAACATCAAGTGTTACTACGAACTGAGGTTCTACCTGTTTTCCCCCATGTTGTGAAGAATGGGTCTTGCTTTATTGCAGTCAAAAGCCCCAAGTAGTTGGATTGTTCTGTATTACCTGTCCCTGTGGAAACATTTATGAAGGAAAACACCTTTTGATCACAAGTTCACCAGAAAGTGGTCAACACATAAGGCCTCAAGACCCTGTCGGAAAAGAAGAGTGTTGATCCTGTTGAGTAGTTCCTTGAGCAGACTGTCAAAGATATTTGGCAGAATGCCTCATCCCCAAAAATTTCCAACAAGCTCCAAAACATAGCTTGGCTGGTGGTTAGAAAGGCACTGCTTGTCAGATCCTTCGTGCACGCCTGGTCTGTGTGCGCCACTGCATGCTGTCCTCAAAGCAGCTGCGCTGGTGAAGAGACTTGTCATGCATTTCCCTCTGGAATGTGCCTTTACAAAGAAGGGAGATGCAGTGGTTTTCGTTTGAGGTTCACTCCAAACAACTCCGTAACACAAGACTCTGTGCTCTACAGGCTGTGCCCCGGTTGCAAACGGAGAAAACATCAACTGTGCCTAGAGGAGCATCATCTTGGTGAAAGATGCTCTTTTGTCTACCTGAAAATTGTTGGTCTTCCAGTATAAAGAGTTGACCTTGACCAAATGTTGCAGACTGGCACATTCCAAGGTCCAGGACTCCGTGCTGAGGGACACACTAAAGTGCTTGGGACAGCTGCCATTAAGGCGCAGAGGGGAACGACCATTGTCTAAAGTCTTTCTGCCAAAGTATAGCAAGGGTTTTTTCAGTTGTCAGACCACATTGTTGCCTCAAAAGGAATGTAAATAATTTTATGCGTGAGTACAAAATGTCTTGTTTTGCAACTGCAGGAAACTCAGAACGTCAAATTCCAATATGTTGTTTGTTTTTTTTTTCTGCAAACACTGTACAGAACTGACCAAACTCAGGGTTCTCTAAAAGTTAACATGCAGGTTCAGTTGGAGTTAGGAAGTCAAATGCAATGGTAATATTAATTTCAAGAGGGCAAGCATTGAAGAGTAGGAAGAACTGCTGAGTTTGTGAGAGGCTCTGGTCAGACTGCATTTGAAATATTGTGAGCAGTTTTGGGCCCTGTATCGAAGGAAGGATGTAGTAGTTTTGGAAGGCTTCTAGAGGAGGTTCATAAGACTGATCCCGGGAATGAAGGGCTTGTTGTATGAGGAGTGTTTGAGGAATCTGTGTCTGTAGTCAGTGGAGTTTAGGAGGATGAGGGAGGATCTCGTTGAAACTTAAAGAATATTGAAAGGCCTGGATAGGGTGGTTATAGAGAGGATGTATCCACTAGTAGGAGAGACTAGGACAACCCTTTATAACTCAAATGAGGAGCAATTTCTTAAGTCAGAGGTTGGAGAATTTGTGGTACTCATTGTGCAGAAGGCTGTGGAGGCCAAGTCATTGAGTGTGTTTAAGACAGAAGTACATAGTTAGGTTCTTGATTAGCAAGGGGATCAAGGGTCACTGGGAGAAGCCGGGAGGATGATATTATCCTTGACTGAATAGCAAAGCAGACTCGGGCCGAACGGATTAATTCTGCCCCTACATCTCATGGTCTTACTTTTCAGAAATCCATGTTGACTTTGTCTACCCCTGTTGGTATTTTCTAAGTGTTCTGTTATCACATCCTTTATAACAGACTCCAGCATTTCTCTGCTACTGATGTTTGACTAACTGGTCTGTAGTTCCCTGTTTTCTCCCTCTTTTTTTTTAAATAGTTAGCTTGCATTTGCTACTCTCCAATTCGCCGGGATTGTTAGAAGATGACAGCGACTGCATCCACCATCTCATGACCACTTTCCATAGTACCCTAGGATGTAGGTTATCAGGTCCTTGGGATTTATCAGCTTTCCATCCTATTAATCTGTGCAGCACACTTTTTTTCTAAACCAATGCTAATTTCCATCGCTTCCTCCTTCCGTCTAGACCCTGCTTCCCTTGTATTTCTGGGTGGTTATTTGTGTCTTCTTTCGGTAATTAGAATACTTGTATGGAGATGTCACAGTGTGCAATAAATAGTCCTGAGTACTTAAAGATATGGGTCTATAACCTGTGGCTCAGGAGCCATGAGTGGTTCATTCAAGACTGACACTTTATCTTGATGATCAAAACCATTTTGACAGCAATTAAATGGCTTGTTTGATTTGTTAAATTGTTTTAACATTGTTTTTGTGAGAAAGTGTTGTTTAAAAATGTTGGTAAGATGTGACTGCCTTGTTTTTAATTTGAGTAACAGCATTTAGCTTTTGTGTTTTTGATCAAATTTTTTTCGACAGGTTGCTATGTTATTGAACTTGCCTCAAGGTGATTAGTTCTTTTCATTGTAACATTTGAATTGTTACTTTTTGAGTAGAGAACAATCCATGTAAACAAGGAGGAATGTTTTGGCCCCTTTTTGATCATTTGCAGTGCAAAATATTAAAAAGTAATTGCAGGCAGCCCAGCTAGTTCCAGCAGCGTTGACAATAAATGTATAAACGTATCTCATTTGTGACAATTGTGAAATTTTACACTAATTGTAAAATTTTGCTCAGTCGGCTGAACGGCTGGTTTGCAATGCAGAGTAGCATCAACAGCGTTGGTTCAATTCTCTCACTGGCTGAATTTACCATGAAGGATTCTCCTTCCCAGCTCCTCCTTCGCCTGAGGTGTGGTGACCTTCAGGTTAAGCCACCACCAAGTCATGTCTCTTTTTAATGAGAGAGCAGCCCTGTGGTCTTTTGGGTCGGTGGCAACTTTACATTTATTTTATTAATGCAATCGCTGTTCTATTTTTAGCCTTCTACTATATGGTTTTCTTTATTTTGTGTCTTTTTTCCCTTTTTTCACAGGGTAGAATTTACAGTTGGAGACAAGCCTATAAACAACTTCAGGATGATTGAAAGACATTACTTCAGGGAGCGGTTGCTGAAAAGCTTCGATTTTGATTTTGGGTTTTGTATTCCGAACAGCAGAAATACTTGCGAGCATATATATGAATTCCCGCAACTTTCTGAAGACATCAGTATGTATTTCCAACTTCTTTAAGTTCTACTATTGGAATTTTGCAGTTTACTTGATGAGTTTGTTATTGCTATTCAAGTATTTATCCCTTTTAGAAATATCATAGAGTAATACAAAGCAGAAAGGGCCCTGTGGCCTAGTGAATCTGCAATGGCAATAACTACCACTAAAGATGTGCTAATCCCAATTTCCTGCACTTGTCCCATATTCTTCAATGCTATGATATTTCAAGTGCTTGTCCAAATATTTGTTAAAGGTTGAGAGGTTTCCGGCCTCCAAGTAGATACATCTAAGTTGTGACCATTAGCAAATTATAATTTTACTAAATTTTAATAAAACATCAAATTGCCCAAATTTCATCTTACACTGCTTCTCTTGAAAATGGGCATTTTTAACACTGTACCCATTTTCCTTTCAAACTAAAAAGCTGTTGTCAGTTCTCCAAATACAGCACTGCACTGCTAAATATTTTGCAACCAGTAAAACTCTTCATATCAGGGTCTCCTTTGAAAATTGGTGTTCTCAGATATTCAGTGCATCAGACACAAATAGCTGAATATAAATTTGTAGAATAGTTTTCTCCTTGACTATTTTCTCTCCTGTCCTAATGGTGTTTACTCCTAATTGGTATACTGTTTGGCATGTGCTGTGATTACTAGCTAGCATTTTGCTGAGATGGTCGTTCTTTGGGTTTGGGGCTTTGTGAAGAATAGCGGAAATATTTGAACCTGTGGAGAATCTTGAATAGTCCAAGATTGCCCTCACCTGATGTACATTCGTGCACTTTTAGTTCATTATATGCATAACAATGAGGAGCAATAAACATTTCTATCCTAAATTCTTACTGTCAGGTAGGCTGAGCTTGGCCAGGGGTCATAGTTGGGATCTTTCTGGAAAGTGGGACAACATAATCCATCAGGGTAGCTAATGTTTTGTGCTGAATAATTTTTACTGAAGTTGGAGAGGGGCTTTAATCAAATTTGATGTAGGTATCTATGCTTTTTATTTACTCAACACTTTAAAAAACAATTTTGAACCCATCAAGAGTGGGTTATCTTCTCCTCTTCTCTTTCCCATTGCCTCACCTGCCATCCTCCTTCCTTCTGCCTGACTGAAGCAACTTGGTAGCAAGGTTGATATTTTTTAATTGATGTGCATTAACAGGGCAGGGAATCTCTGTGATTTGTTAATTAATCTTTATACCATGCCTCTGAACAAAGCAATCAATTGATAATCAATCAAGGCATAATTAAGATACTGCTTTTAAGCTATTTGATGTTAAGAAAAATTACACAGTCATTTTAATTAACGCAAATATGTTTTTTTTTTAACCAGAATGACATTTCCATGTC